CTGAAGCCCTGAACCCAAAGAAGTCTTTCTCCCCTTTAAGTTGTCAGTGTTAGATATTTTGTCACTGCAACAAAAGCTAACTAACACAACCCCTTCCATCTTACTGTTCAAGCATGTGAAACTCCAATTTTCCAGAAAACTCCTAATACATGTTGGGCATATATAAATTATGTAGGCCCAACAGTTTTAAGTAATGTTTTATTGCCTAATTAGTTTCAACACTGTTGGAAGAAAGGGAGAAGGGAGAGGAGGAGGAGGAGGGAGGGAGGGAAAGCACTGACAGCTTGTCCACACACTGCCCATGGATATGGTGCGTGGCCAGAATGTCACCAGAGGAAGGGAGGACAGTGGGGGAATCTCAGGTCCTAATAGGAAGAACTGCAGAGGGAGTCAATAGCACAGGTAAAGATTTACTTAAGGACAACAAAGAAGGTCACACTCAGAGGGAGTGCAGGCAACCCTCACCTCTCAGAAGAGAGGACTAACAGCTCAGGTATGGGCTCTCTGGTGACATGTATGATTTTCACAGGGTGGAGTCTTAAGCGCTCGAGCCATCATTAGATTTTGATGATTTGGAAAATGTTTACAAAATTCCTTGGAAACCAAGTCCCATGGTGACCACCTACCCTTGGAATTCAGAGGCTCCTCTTTGGTCCAACAGTCTAGCCATTAATCACTCGTGGGCATGTTGTATAGGTCCCCAGGTGGGTGACATTTTAATTTATAATATATCCAATATCTTACAAGCATATACTGAATGTTCTGTTGATCTGAAACTGAAGACACAGCTCAACTAACTTGTGTTTTCAGAGGTCTCCATTTTCTCAGGGTCTCTCCCCATGGGCCTGTGTGAGTTTATCTGTCTCAGAGGCCGTACCCGAGGATGGCTTCCCAGCCCATGCAGCAGGATGGAGCAAAAGCTAACCAAACATAATCTCCTGGACCCCTGGTCCCAACCCCTCTGCCCCTCCCTCTCCTGGGTCCACGCCCCTCCCTCACTGAACCTGCTCAACACTCGACCACCTGTAAGCCAGGGACAGGCCCAGGAGGCCAAGCCATCCTCTGGCACCACCTTCCCGCCTCCTCCCCTTCAAGGCCTCCCACACTCCTCAGTGTTGTCCCCCACACTCCTCAAGTCCACCCAGCCCTGCTCCTGAGACTGCTCTGCCCATCCTCAATCCATGATTATCTGTGGGACTCGATGTGACCCTGTCACGACACAGTATCTCCTGGCTCCCCAGCCCCTCCCTGGCTGAGGCCGGCTGTGCCCAGTCCCTGCTATATGAGAATGACCCTCAGACCTCTCCCCAGACCTCAGGACCAGGGCTCCGCCTAGATGGCGCACGAACACGTCAAACTGAGGCGTCCAAGACAGCCCCGCTTCTCTCCCTCCCCCACCCCACCCACATGGCTATGCTCCTGTCTCAACAGAGAACACCCATGTCCACCCAGCTGCCCAGTTAGGGATCCCTGTGTTGCTCTGACCCTTCCCTTTCCTCACTTTTGCACCCAGGGCCAGCACTCAGAGATGATGTGCCTGGTTCCCTCAGATCTTCTACCTCTCTCCACTGCCACTGTCAGCTGCCCCGTGAGGCCCCATCTTCTCTCTGCCCTAACAGCCTCCAAACTCACCCACCTGCCTCAACATCTATCCTCTCCAACCATTTTCCTTGCTGTACTTACCTGTGAACTCCTGAAACACAAACTTGACTAAGAACCTCTTTTCCTTAAAATCTTTCACTGACCCTAACCCTCCAGAATAATAACCACGTTCCTCAGTGTGGCTCAGAACTCTGTTGTAACCTGGCCTCATCCGTCTGCATTCATCTCTGACCTTTCACCTCCTGGAGCCCAATGCCCCAGAATACAGGACTTCTGGTGTCTTGTACAGCAGTAGGTGGCCAATAAAACCTGTGAAGCCAAGTAGAGTGTCGAAAGAGCACCGCTAACAAACAGTCTCTCCAAGGAATGGTGTGAGCTGGGTTTCAAAGGATGGTCACATTTTTACCAAAAGTGAGGGCAACATGGAAAAGCGGCTTCACAGGTATGACGGTACAGGGCCACCTCACACACACAATGTTGTGACGTTGGTCTGAGCTGCAAGCATTCATGAGTGTATGTAAAAGGTAAGACATGTCACTGGGAATACAGGAAATATGCCCCACAGTGATCCTCAGTGAGGTCTAGTCCGATGCCCCTGAGACACAGGACATCCCAGAGTGGCCTGGAATTAGAAGTTTCATTCTGGGTGATAAGCTGTAGCATGACGTGTTTCTCACTGCATTACAATCCTTCCAAAATTCCCCGTCCCCATAAGATGAAATGGCATGTGCTGCCTTTGGTCAATGCCAGGCACCTGCAGCAGAGAGTCATGAGGCCAGGTGCTGGGTCATCCCAGAACCACAAGACCCACCCAACTCCTGACAGCATGGAACATCAGCCCCAGTCATTCCCAGATTTGAGAGTGTGGCTGCAGGACACAAAGAGGAGGCCATTTCAGAAAAGACCACAGAAATGGGACAATAAGTTGAGAAGTTTAACAAATAGTCCCCAGCCTCCTAACCTAAGAAGCTACCCTTGACTGGAAGGGAAGTGAAGTCGTTAAATTAGATTTTTATAAATGAACCTTTGGCAATTTTAATGTCAAGCAGCAATGGTGCCTAAACCCACTTTAAAGCAGCTGTGTGACAGGGCCAGCCACCCTCGGGTGCCTGACTCGCAGGACTTCAGGGTCATTGTGCTCAATATACCTGTGCAGTGGGCTAACCCTGAGGCCCATGCGACAGACAGGGAGAGGTCTCACCACCATCGGCAGCAGGGCACCCTCGTCCTCTGGACCTCCTCAGGGTTCCTCCCACACAGTCACTATCAAACTCCACAACTTCATATGAAACTCCATATGTGAAGAATGGGGAAGCACCCCTTCTCCCTGGGCCCTCCCCACCATCCCCCTGAACCTGGGGCCAGTCCTCTGGGGAACAAGATGCTTCTCTGAAAAGAGACCAGAACAAAAAGACAACTCCCACCCCTCTCCCTCTTAGAGGGAGCCCACAGACATCTCCATTCTTGGCCGCGCATGGAGGCTGGGTAATTACCAGGCGATCTAGCTCAAGCCCCTTGCCCTGCTCACCTTCCACTAAAATGCATGGTACATCATGATCATGAAATGTGCTTATTAATTTTATTCATTTGACACCGCGCTCTTCTGCCCTGAGCTAGATGTTAGGAGAAAATGATAGGGATGGATTGTGCTCCTGTCAGGCTCCCCGAGACTTTCAGAAAACCAAACCATCAAAGGCCATCTGCCACCCACTAGCCAAGCATTCAAGATGACCCCAAAGGTGCCAACAGAATGTCATAGATGCAGATCAACAGGGGAGCAACAGCAAGAGAGCAAGCCAGGCCCAGTGTTCAAGCTCCCCGGAGGCCTCCCAGGAGAGGGACCCCAGGGCCCATCCTCCCACAGGGCGAGCGCTCAGCCTATCTTGATTCACCATCCAACTCATCCAAAGACACTTCGGCTTCTCAAATCAGAAACATTTGTATTAGCTTTCCTAAAAGTTTTATGGCAAAAGCCATACCTAGTGGTTCTACTTTATGGAAAGTTGTACATTCCAACAGGGCTTTGAAGACAGGCAGCAGGTAACCCTCAAACCTTTGTCAAAGAAGATCCCCTCGTTCTTTCACTTTTAAAATGTTTAAAACATTCTGAAAAGTTGGGAAAGTGATGTGGAGCGTTTTCACAGGCCCCTCTGCCTGCACTCAGATCCACACTGACCCACCTGGCACAGCCTGTGTGACTGCAGCGGTTCTCAGTTGGGCTGATTTTACCCACCCTTCCCTCCTCCTGGGATCATCTGGAAATATCTGGAGACATTTCTGATCATCTCCACTGGGGGAAGAGTGGCAGCTGCTACTCCCTGGACTGGGTGGAGGCCAGGGACGTTCAGCCTCCTGTGATGCACAGGAGTCCCACAGCACAGAGCTGCAGGACTGTCTGGCCCCAAATGCCAACAGCCTAGACTAAGAATCCGGGACTCAGGGCTTCTTCAGGACCAGGCCTCTGGGCCTTCCCACCCCAGGACGTAGGATGCTGACCTAATCACATGAGGTGTTTTTTTCTGTGCTGGCTAAGGAGACCAGCACTCTTCTATTTTTATGTATTCTTGATATACATTTTTAATGTACAAGAATAAAGTGTAAACAAAATGAGGAAGTAAAAATAAGATCACCTTAGAATCTCAAACACAGGATGACATTCACCATTAACCCCCTGGTGTCACTCTGCACTTTTTAAGCTCCACCCGTGTGGGAATTTGTCACTGAACTAACAGAAGGGCCAGTCCTGTCGTATGGGACTACTGCGCACAGCACGAGGTGTGGGGCAAAGCAAGTGCTCCACCAAGCGTGTGCTTGGAGGAGGTCTGGTCCTGATTAGTCACCATATCCAAGGACAAGGACTCTGTCACCTCACTTCTTAGAGCTTAAGTTCTAATTGACAAAGCAGAGACAAAACTGTGTGTTCTCCCAGACTTCCAGGGACTCAGAGAGCTAAAAGAATTCACGGATAGGACATTTCTGTGAACTGCAAAGAGCCATACAGCGTACGACAACACGTTTGTAGCATTTATACATGTATGACAACCACCAGGGTCTTTCACAGAGTTTTGGATCCTTGTCATGAAGTGTCACAACTAGAAGCGACTTTGGAAATCAGTGAGCCCAACCCCTTAATTTTTCAGAAGGTGAAAATGACCGTCACTGAAGTCAAATGACTCAGCCACAGCCAAAGCCAGGATACAGCCCTGACTGGCTCTGTCTTCTGACTCCCAAACCAGCACATTCCCAGAGCCCTCCCACTGGCACTGGTCTCCCACCTCTGATTAAGTTCCTAGAGGGAAGAAGCACATCTTACACACAGGATCAGAAGATCTCGGACACAGGAGGTAAATATTTGCTGAATCAGTGAGCAAAGTGTACAAACTAGTGTCTTGACTCACTACATCATAGCCTGCTGGGGCTCGGTTCCGGGAAGCCACCACCCCGACTCCCGTGATGGGGTCCATGGACGTCTCTGGCAAGGCTTCCGAAAGGTCTTTGACTTCAGGCATGGTGGATTGGTCCTGGTTCAAAAAAAGAAAAAGAAAGCACAGAATTCAAACTTAGTGTTTAAGACAAACAATACAAAGTCTCAGCAACCAGAACCCTAATACACGGCAATTGTCCCCAGCCACACGCCACACACCTGAGCTGGCTGACCCTTCACTCAGACCAAGAATTCAATCACCTCTGGCCTCTGCTCTCCTCAAGTGAGCTTTGAAAACTGAGGGCTTGTCCCTGCCTGCTCCCAGGAGGAAATTTCGACTCAAACCCAAAAGCACATCATTCTTAACTCCACCGTCCAGCTGTCTGATTTTGTAACAGACACCAGCAGCTCCACTGAGGATCGCTCAGACGTGGCTATGTCTAACGACAGCCTCTGTTTCTCTCCCTTCTGCTCACTCCTTCTGGAGGTGTAGGCTTCCAAGCGCACTGCCTCTACCGTGCCGTGCCGAGGCTGAGCTCTGCAAACATGCAAGCAGCTTTGCAAATACAGAGAAGTGTTCTGGGCACTGGGCAAAGGCAGAGCATTGAGTTCAGGCTCTATCACATTCTAGCTGGTGACCTAGAGCAAGAAGCCAAACCTCCTGGAGCCTCAATTTTTCTCTACTATAAAATGGAGTCATGATACTTACACTCTGAAAATTGGTGCAAGAACTAAGAGCATCAAAGTAAAAGAAGGGCTTGGAGAGGTCCCTGACATGGAGTGGGCACTTAATAAAAAAGCAGATGAGACTGGCAGAATTGGGGCAACAGACCCAGAGTGACTGGCCAGAAACAAAGGCAGCACCACCCCTAGAGGACTGGCAGATCCCTTTGTTGTGTTTAACCCCAGGTCACGTGGGCACTTACTCAAAGCTAAACACTGACAATGACCCTAATTCTTGCTGGTGAAAGGGAGGGGAAATGGAATTATTCTGCTGCTGCAGACTGCCTCTTGACAGGGCCAGAGGAGACAGGTGTAGCGTGGACAGCACTGTACTCAGGCAGTCCAAGTGGCCAGTGCACCAGAAAGCAAATAAAGAAGGCAACACCTTATGTAAATGAACTTAAGTACTTTTAAAGAAGCAGCAGTGAAAAGAGCAAGTTAAATTCCACCTCCTTCTGTAACAATTAAACTCCACTGACTATAGTTCTGCCAGCTCTCTTAAGGCCAGTTACTACTTCAAAAGAAAACCAAACACCCTGCCTAACTAGGCAGGTAGGAGGAACATTCTTAGCCTGGAATCAGAAAAGGCAGGGCTGAAGGATGTTGGCTCAATGGTAGAGTGCTTGCCTTGCATACACGAAAACCTGGATTGCACCCCCAGTACAGCAGCAGGGAAAAGAAAATCAGAAAGAACAGGGGACCACTAGAAATGACTGCAGGCTGCTAATTAGGAACAGTCAAAATGCTGCATGCAAGTCACACACGCAACCGGTGGAACCCACAGAAAGCTACAGAAACGGACTTGCCAATACATTGATAAAGTTGCCCAAGTCTAGGGCAGGGGTAGAAACCATACTGCATCATTTCCTATTTTCAAATTTCATTTACCAGGCAGGTTTATCTGCATAAAGCACGAAGGTTAGTGCTTCCTGTATCCAGTAGGCATTAAATATTTATTGAGTGGCTATGCATGCAGGCCCCCAATACAGATTTTGAGTTAAATATCTGTAGCTGCCTGATTCAAAACAAGCACTGATCAAACAGTCTGCACTCAAAAAATCGTGTCTTATTGGGAAGGTGAAAACGACGTTGCTGCAGCGTACATGATACTGGTACCTGCTGTCGGTTACCAAAAGTGCTTTGCAAAAGTAACGACTCATTAACAGAATGGAGGAATTCTGCCAGTGCTCACTACCGCACTGAGGATTGATAAAGAGCATGTGGGTACTTGTTTGTTAAGACACTACTGCCTCTACTATCAGAGCGAGGGAAGGTGAAAGAAAAGGGGTGTGTGGGGTGGGGGGCCAAGGTGAGCATACATCAGAGGCCTGGGATTCGCCCGCCCGCTCGCCCCTGTCACCCGCAGCCGCTGCCAACCGCAGGAGGCGGCCTCCCAAGATGCACCGGGCGGCCCAGCAGCCTCCAAGATGGCTGCAGGCGGCCTCCAGCTGGGGCGGACAAAGGAGCCTGAGTGTTCGCGCAGCCCGGCCTGGCCAGCCTGCAGGGCCGCAGACACAGCAGGCCCCTGCCGCACGCCCCCGCCCTTCTCCCCTTCCCCCCCAGTTGCGGTGCCCTGGGGATCAAGGCAGCCTTTGTGCAACAGAGACAAATGGCCGCCCTGGGTGCGGGGCTGCGGCCCACTCGCCGGTGCAGGAAGCCCCACCACAGCCAAGGAGGCTTTTAATGAGAAACGCCCAAGATATCCAAGGCAGAGGCCATCGCTCAAAGCAGCTTGCCCTGAATTACATATTTTCTGACTGCAGATTACTTTTAACAGCGTCTCCACCGTCACTTCAATTGACCTTCCTAACAAAAGGCCATTTATTAACTAGCACTCCACGCTGCCCAAGCTGCTGAGCCTCCAGCCAGAAGGGAGGGCACCGTGCATCCTCTGCAGCCCAGGGTCGCAGGCCAGGCTGCAGCCAGGGGAAAAAGAAGGATGGATGTGAGCCTGCACATGGAATCTGAGGGGTGGGGGACACGGGAGCCTGGGTGTTTAAGACCAATTTTAACCTTCCTGGCAGGATGGGATACTGGAGAAAACACCAAATCCTTAGGCCTACTTGCAGCAGCTCCTCATCCAGTGACACCAAGACTGCACAAAACACGCAGACATACCTCTGCTTTGTTTGTACAGCACTTTGCAAACCTCAAAAAACTTTCCCAGGCTCCTTTTCAGTTGATGCTCACATCACACCTGGGATGTGACCGGGCCATGTTATCTCCCTATTTTACAGGAGAGGAAGCATCCTGAGTTCTCAGACACTGCAGGGATGGCGGCTGCAGAGACATGGCCTCCCTGGTCTGGCCTGCTTTCCATTGCACTGTGCGCAGAGAGCAGCGACCCGCCCAATTGGAAAAGCAGTTTCAACACTAATTATATTTTAAAATGCCAAAGCTCTTCTTTCTCTGGCCATAGCTCAATAAGTCAAGCAAGGGGGAGAAAAGTACAGAAAGATAAAAGTAACATGGGATTAATTTTCCTCACACCTCAGTTTCAAGATTCAACATTCCCCTCATAAATAATTTACAACAATAAAAATGAGCTAAGGCCATGTTTGTGTAGGATGGAGGTAAATTCAGGCCTAATGAGGGAGATCCGAGCACAGCACAGGAGGGAACAGGTTGATGAACGGCCTGGTGCATGCAGGATCGACAGCACACAGGGGCTCCATTACCAGCCACAAGCTGCGGGGCCAACCAGGAGCAGGGGAGCCCACTGGGAAACCTTGCCATCCAGCTGTGGCGCAAGGAGGGTCTCTACAGGGAAAGCAAAAGTGGACCCAGTGTTTTGAACAGCAAGACAGTAGAACTTCAGTGTTAAGCAGGTCTGAATCCAAGTCAGTCCTCAACAAAGGCCAAGGAAAGAAGGAAGGTGGGGCACTGAGGGTCCCATCTGCTCTGCTCCAGATCATAGTGACACTGACCTTGAGCTGTCCTAATTTAGCCTAGGGGTCATCTGGTCTCAATCCCCAACCAACCTCTACCCTGAGTAAGCATACAGCCTCTGCAAAGACATTTGCAAGCTGGGGGCTGCAAAGCTTAGCTCCAGGCAGCTGTTCTGTGTCTAATCAAGAGGTTCTACCCCAAGGCATGAGCGGGTGTGTGCCTGATCATGTGCGCATAGGTGTGGCATGAACTGGGCAAGATGAGGAGGGTTTACCTGATCCACGGTGCACTTTGCCCGGCACACCATGTTTGATGCATACCGTACACTGGCCGGGAGGAACCTGCTGCCCGCTCTTGCTTGCCCTGCTGCCAACAGCGCTGGGAGGCCCTCATGCCAGCATTGCAGCACCTCACCAATGCTGTCATCCCAGGTTCACAGAGAAATGAACTTTAACTATGAAGCTCCTTCACACAGCCGGCACACTGCTCCCTTGTAGCTGATCAAAGAATTACCACAACAGTGTGCTTAATCCCTAAAAGTCAGCAGCAGGGCTTCACTGATGCTGAACATTGTTTCAGAATCAAAGGCCTGCCTCCCGGCCCCAGTCTGGGAGAAAACTAAGCTACTGTATCACAGCTGAAAACTCAGGGGAACTTTGATATCATCTCTGTTTAATTTCCACGGCCATAGTGAGCCTGGGTTTATCTCATTCTATCAACTCCAGTACTGAAATCCAAACCCAACTAACAACACGCAGCCCTCTCTCCACCGAGGCCCTCCCAGCAGCGGGGTGTGGGTTGAGTTTAAAGTGCTTTCGGGGGGCCATGACTGCAGGGGGCAGGGGTGCTGCCTTCAAAGGAGGCATCGGGCCTCCCTGCTGCGCAAGGGAGGCTGGCTCAGAAGCAGGGCCAGCAGCCCGCCAGGGCCAAAGGCATGACCGCACAACTTTTGAGGAGAGTGATTTCAAAGTATTAGGGGGGTAGGTCAAATCGGGCTACTGTAATTGAAATGACAAAACCAGTGGGTTAATTAAGTCCCTACAGAAGGATGAACTTGTGATCAGCTTGCTTGAAATCCAAAGTCAAGGGCACCAAAGACTTAAACTGCCATCCCCTGCGGGGCTGGGGAGGTAAGGGAATGAAAACTTAACTCACCCTGGGGAAGGACACAGAGCAGGGTTCCCACTAGGACTGGGCTGTCCTAGCAAACACTGCTGCCACAGCCAGTGTCCTGGGGAGGTTCTCGGCCCATTTCCCAGCTGCAGCGATGGTCTGCAGGAATCCTCGTCCTCGTCCCCTTTGGTGCCTCAAGAGTACTAGCACCTTTCTCCTGACAGATTCGCAAGAAGGGTCAAGAGGACATGGCATAGCCTCAAAGGAAGGAACCAGTGGCCAGGCTTCACCAACATGCACTGCCACACACACACACACACACACAACCAGGCCACCTCCTTGAGGCAATGGTGCAAAGACCCACTTCCTCAG